CCTTGTTGATTTTCTGTTTAGATGGTCTGATCATTGCTATAAGTGAGGTGTTGAGGACCTCTACTATTATGGTATTATCATCTATGAGTTTCTGTATGTTTGTGATTAATTAATTTATATATTTGCGTGCTTTCACATTTGGAGCATAAATGTTTACAATTGTTAGATCTTCTTGGTGAATAGACCCCTTAATTATTATATAATACCCTTCTTCATCTCTTGTTACAGTCTTTAAAATCTAGATTCTCTGATATAAATATAGCCACTCGGCTTTCTTTTGGCGACAATTAGCATGTTAAATGGTTCTCCATCCCCTTATTTTCAAGCTGAAGGTGTTTTTAGGTCTAAAGTGGGTCTCTTGTAAAGAGCACATAAATGAATCTTATTTTCTTATCCATTCTGTTACTCCATGTCTTTTGATTAGAGCATTTAGTCCATTGACATTTGGAATGAGTACTGAAAAATGTGAATGTTGCCATTGTGTTGCTTATAGAGTTGGAGTTTCTGTGTTGTCCTCTAGTCCTTGCTAGTCTTTGTTGCTTTTGGTCTTTTTTTTTTTTTTTTCATCTTTTTTCCCCTTTGAAAGTCCCCTTAAGATTTCTTGCAGGGCTGGTTTAGTGGTCACAAACTCCTTTAATTTTTGTTTGCGTGGGAAACTTTTATCTCTCCTTCTATTTTGAATGACATCCTTGTTGGATAAAGAATTCTTGACTGCATATTTTCTGATTCAGCACATTGATTATATCCTGCCACTCTCTTCTGGCCTGCCATGTTTACATAGACAGATTTGCTGTGAACCTGATCTGTCTTCCTTTGTAAGTTAAGGACTTTTTTTTCCCTTGCTGCTTTCTTGATTCTTTCTTTGCCTAAGTATTTTGTGAATTTGACTATGATATGCCTTGTTGATGGTTGGTCTTTGTTGAATCTAATGGGAGTTCTCTATGCTCCCTGGATTTTGATGTCTGTGTCTTTCTCTAGGTTAAGAAAGTTTTCCACTAGGACTTGCTCACATAAACATTCTACCCCCTTTTCTCTCTCTTCATCTTTTAGGACCCCTATTATTCTGATATTATTATCAGAATTTTTAATAAGTCTCTAATTCTTATGTATTTTTTTTTTGCCTTAGTCTCCCTCTTTTATTCTGCTTCATTTTTCTACATAAGTTTGTCTTTTATATCATTTATTTGCTGCTCTGCTTCATCCATCCTCGCTGTTATGGTATCATTCGAGAGGGCATCTCAGTTATAGCATTTTTTATTTCATCCTTACTAGATTTTACTTCTTTTATCTCTGCAGAAAGGGATTCTGTGCTTTTTCAACCACAGCTGGTATTCTTATTATCATGATTCTAAATTCTGGTTTAGACATCTTGCTTGTATCTGTGTTGATTAAGTCTCCAGCAGTCATTTCTTCCTATTCTTTCTTTTGGGGCGAATTCCTTCATTTCATCATTTTGAAGGAAGTAAAGGAAATAATAAAATTAAAAAATTAAAACAACACCAAAAAATCAAATAAAGGATGCTAGATCCTAGGTGTGTTTTGGTCTGGATATTGAAAGAAGCTTGACAGAATAGAGAAAAAAGGGAAAGAAAAGAAAAGGAAAAGGAAAAGGAAAAGGAAACATTTTTTTAAATGAACACAACAAAATAGAATAAAATGAAATGATGAAAGTGAAATAGAATTTTTAAAATTTACAAAAAATAAAAAATATGGTAGAAAAAAATAAAAGAAAAATCTTTTTTATAAAAATGAAAAATAAAAATATTTTTGTCTCTTTATGTATTCAAGAATAAGAAAAGAAAAAGAAAAAATTGAATAGCTGGACCAGTGAACAGAATGAAATATGATTGAAATTACATCCAGTTTCCCCTAGAAGTCAAACTATGAAACACTTTTAAATTAAGCAGGCAGAAAGACTGTGGTGTTCCTCAATTGTGTGGTTGGCCAGTTTGACAGGGTTTGGTGTAGTCTCTAGCCTCACTAATGACACTCTCAGTTTACTGGGGCGGACTGTTGTGGCATGTGTAGGTGTCTATGTACATGCACAGAAGGGGATAAAATGACATTAGCCAGCTATCCCATATCTAGTTTCAGAATTCTTTGCTCTCTCTACCAGGCAATCAAACACCCCTCCTTTTCTCCTGCTTCAGTCCACTCCCTGCTTCTATGCTATCCTCAACTTACCAGGTGGCACCTCTCTCCCAAATTTTATCTCAAATCCCTCATTCTGAGGGTCCTACAGCTTTGACTGACTCAGACCCTCTGGGGAAGGGTCTTGAGGAGCAATAGTTGGTGCCGGGCTGCCCCCTGGAATGTTTGTGTGACAGTGATGCTATGTGTTCAGAAACTGCGGCTGGGCGCCAGCCTGCTCCAGAAAATGTTGACATGATCATGTAGCAGTAGCATTTCAAGGATTATGATAAATCACAACACACATCTGACACCAGACTTCACCTTTCCAACATCAGTGAATGTGTTTTCTAGGTCCTCTAGAACCTTTGCCTTTGGTGAAGCTGCACAGTCTCTACCAAACATCCTCTCAGCATGGGAACCACCTCTTCTTGTGGGGCCCAAGAACTCCTCAGACCTTGTTCTCTGCTCCTGGGGCTTCACACTTCCCACCAGAGCTCCTCCAGATATTAGGCTGTGGAGTTTCAGACCTGGTGTTCCCCCTGTTTATACTCTTAATGGAATTTAAACCCTCTCATTTCTCTTTTCTCCCTTTTTTGTTCAGTCCCTTGCAGCTGTTTCCACTCTTCCTCTTTCTCTCCAGCTGCTTTTGGGGAGAGGGGTGCCTTTACTGTACTCTCCCCACCGTCTCCATCCTCTCCACAAGCAAAAACAGCTCTCTACCCTCTGCAGCTTGTCTCTCCCCAAGTTCATCTCTCTACACTCTGTACACACCTGCTGAGGTCTTTGGTTCAAGTTGTGCAGATTGTTGTGTTAATTCTCAAATCAACTTTTTTAGGTGTGCAACATGGTTTGGTATTGGTCGAGTTATATTTCAGGGACTGGAGAGGCAATAATCCTTCCAGGCTACTCTGCCATCTTGGCCCTTCTTCTTGGTTTTTCTTTAACTTTCCAGTGATACATTTGACCTTCTGATGTTGCCCTTCTTTTTATTTAAATTTTAATGTGTATTTATTTTTGAGAGAGAGAGATACTTACAAAGGTGAGCAAGAGAGGGAGAGCGAGAGGGAGACACAGAATCTGAAGCAGGCTCCAGGCTCTGAGCTGTCAGCACAGAGCCCAATGCGGGCTTGAACTCATGAAATGTGAGATCATGACCTGAGCTGAAGTCAGACACTTAATGGCAAGGTGCCCTTGGATAATTCCCTTCTTATCTGAAATCTAATGTCTTGACTTCTGTAGGGGGATTCCCTTCTGAATTGTTGAACGTCTTGTTGATCTGTATTGCTGGATTTAGATCCTCTTTCTGGCTTGTCAAATTCCTCAGTGTGCTGATCTCGGTCTTCTCCTTTCACTTTGTGACTTCTCCCAAATGACTTTATTTATATACTCTTGTGGTTTGAAGTACATGTGAAGTACATGTGAACTACATAACTGTAGTTATGCCTCCCAGCTATGTATTTCTAATGAGTTTTTCCTGAACTTCAAACTGTAAATGCCCAATATCTGGCTATATCTTGACATTCCACAGACATTTTAGGCTGTATATATCAAAAATTAAATTCACTATTTTTATGCACTCACCTTGACATCCCCTTGCATTTTTGTTTCAAATTGTGTTCCCATCAATTCATTCAGTTACCTATTTCATAAACGTGCCTATCATCTTTATGACCTCTCCTTTTTAATCCAGAAACACAACATTCAGTTGTACAGTTTATACACTGAAAAAGGAGGCCCAGCCCAGAGCATAGGGATAGACCAGGAGATGGCAAACTTTTTCTGTAATGGGCCGAATAGTAAGTACTTTGAGTTTTGCTTACCGTATCTTTTTTCTGTCGCAACTACCCAACTCTGCTGCTGTATTGTGAAAGCACCCTAGGCAACATATAAACACATGAATGTGGCTGTATTCCAATAAAAGTTTACTTACAGTAATAGGTACAATGTGCCATGTCCTGGAATGGAGTTAGGATTGCTGAAATTCAGCCTATATTTTACTTGGTAACCCATGGGTCCAACACAAGCAATGATGATAGAAGTCATCATGCCTTTAGCCTCCACCTCTAAATTTGATCACCTCATCATTTTAACTTTACTTTCCAAATATTTCTTGAATGCTTGCCTTTTACTTTTTAAATTCATTGTCATTAACTAAATTTAGTCCTCAAATAGTGTTTCAAAGCCTTCCTAATCTGACTTTATATCTTCAAATCTTATAAATAAAAGTATCTGTCTAAAATTCAAATCAAATCATTCCACCCACAACATAAAAAGAAAATTCTTATGTACTTTGTTAAAAGCACATATGATATGATTTTTCTATTCTCATCTGCCATCACCTTTTCTTTTGAGCCTTATATTCCAGTAACACTGAATCGTCTGTAGTTCCAAGGAGTTATCTCTATCCACTATCTCTTCTCTTTTACTGACTTCTAATTTCAAATTGTCACATACCAAAGTCACTTTCAGACTCTAATACTGGCCTCAATTCTCATATTTCTACAAATACTTCCCTTTAATATGCCACAACCACTGACAGAATTAACAACTTCATCTTCTTTACAAGTTATTAAACGTATACAGACATCAGTAACTGAACATATTACATTGCATTGGGATATACCTGACTACATTTTTTTTCTGCCTTACTAGACCATATACTCCTTATTCCCAAGGATTGTATTTCAGTCATCTGTCTGTTTGCAGTGCTTAGCATAAGTCCCAGAATGCAGTGAATTGTCAGTATTTGTTCAACTGAGCTGACCTGAATTCTACTTTGATACTGAAATCTGAAATCAGGTAGTTACTACCCTGATTATGCTTCCCAGAGAGTCAAAAATACTGAGATGTTTCTATTTTGAATGCAGAAAGAACTTCCAGATCATTATAGGCCTTGGATGGAAATTGCTAACAAACTCCCTCACTTGATTGAGAGTCACCACCTTCAAGCTCAAGTAAACAAGGTATATCTTATTTTTTTATTCTCTAAATTCTTCTCACCTTCTTATTTTCATCCCCACACTTTTTTCTCAGCACTGTGAAAGTGGGTCAAAGGACCCAGGGACACCAAATGTTGCCATTGAGATTCCTAACAAAGGTATCTCACCTTTCCTAAAGAGTGGAATGACTACTTCTTCGTATGACACATATATTTCCCTAAAATTTCCAGAGTCTGCACAAAACAATTTCTGGAACATATTAAGCCCTCAACAAATATTTGCTTAAAGAAGGAAGGCTGTCTGGTCAGGAATTGTAGGCAAGCTGATGGATACGTTCTAGCTGGAGAAGGATGAGCATAGAAATTCTCAGTGTCCTCATTGCATGTCACATGGTCAGTGATCCTCTGCCTTAATTTTACCATCTGTGTCTTATAGAATATTTTAATCAAGAGAATTTCTGAGTTTTAAAGTCAGGATTGGTAGGTCTGCAGAAATAATTGATAAGAGGAGCAATATTTTCTAAGAATGAATAAGAAACAGTGAAACTTCTTGGTTCAGGGAGTACTAACATTACCCCACAGTAATAATAAAAAGATGTAACAAGTAGAATGTAGACTTTGATTTGGAAACACCTGAGTTTGAATCTTGGTTTTATCACTTAGTAGCTATGTAACTTGTAAACAGATTACTTCACCCATGTAATTCAGCTTCCTTATTTATAAAAGTGGACTAATTCTGGTCTCATAGAATTCTTGTAGGAACTACGTGGCTTTGAAATAATGCTCTGTATTTCCTGCCATTTTTCAGTGCTCAATATATATTTATATTTCCATCTAGTCTCCTCTCCATCATCTTTAATCCCATCTGTTTGGAATACCATGTGGTTTCAGAGATACAAGAAAGGTTTTCCATTCCCCCAAAGTCTCCATCACTGACTTAAACATATTTAGTATCTATTAATACTAATGCATTTAAATACTTCCTAGATGTTTGTTAAGTGCAGGCACAAGACTGGAAATCCTATAAGAGATGCAAGAGACTGTCTTCGACATTTATGAAGATGGCAAAAGAAAGTACCAAAGATGGAATAAAACTTTTAAAAGTGTATCATATCAAGCAAGTTCTATCAGAGTCTGTGGTACGCACGCCAAGCATTCAACCAAAGCAAATGGGAGGCCTCTGTAGTCTCCCTCTCCCGTGTCAGAGTAACAGAGCATAGAAGCAAGGTGGAGTCTGGGATAGCATGTAAAAGGACAGGTTAAGGTTCAATTTGTGAACTACATAATTCTCTGCACCAGGCTTTCCTCAGGCTCTATTTGATTAAACTGTCATGAGTGAAATAAAAGACTCATTGAATTGGTGCTCTTCATATGTTAAATATCAATGAAAAAAAGCCAGGAGTGTCCAGCTAACTTCTGGCCACTAAATACATGGGAGACGGGGAAACAGCTTAGCACAGCAGTGAAAATAATCCCCCAACACTTCTACTGGGTTGAATAGTGTTTCACCAGAAATAGTTACCATTTGGAACCTGTGACTGTAACCTTATTTGGAATTAGGGTCTTTGCAGATATAACCAAGGTAAATGAGGTCATAGGGTGCACTCTAATCCAATATGACTGCTGTCTTTATAAGAAGAGTGAAATATGGCCACAGACACACAGACATCTGGGGAAGAACACCATGTGACAAGAAAGGCAGAGATAGAAATGATGTACCTATAAGTTAAAGTGTCAAGAGTTGCTGGTAATCACCAGAAGCTGAGAAGGAAACATGGAACAGATCATGCCCCAGAAATTCTAGGGGAACCAACCTTACAAACACCTTATTTTGAGATTTCTATTGTCCAGAATTGTGAGCTCTATAGTTTTAAGCTTCTGAGTTTGTGTTCATTAGTTGAGGTGGCCCTAGGAAACTATTACAACACCCTTGGCCAGTCTCCACATTTCTGATTACTTAAAAACATCTAACTACATGAAACCACTTTTAAGACTTCACTGGGGCACTTGGTTGCTCAGCTGGTAAAGCATGCAACTCTTGATCTTGGGTTTGTAGGTTTTAGTCCCACAATGGGTGTAGAGATTACTTTTAAATTTTAAAAAAATCTTAAAAGGACTTCACCAGCACAGGCTGATACTGAATCAATTGGAACTCAGTCATGAAAAGTAATCATTAAGGTTCCAGGACCATACACGGAGCTACAGACGAAAACATGTTCTCTTGAGTCCTTTACTTTGCATAGGCAAGACAATACTTGAGTTTACAGTTTTGATCTTAAAGTACCTCCAGGTCAACCACCTTGCTCTTAGAAAGCCCCTAGACCTATCTCTATTTTGGTACAAAACAAACTTGTTTATTGGTTTAGATGCATCAATCTTCTTCCAAAAAGAGTCTTCTTTCTCCACTCCACTGCCACAAAACATTTCAGGCAACAGACTTGCTCACAGAAAGCTACACATTCCTGAACGTGAATAGATAACATCAAATTACCATGCCATATGAAGAGAAGAAAGAAGTCAAAAAGCAGTAAGAAGGGTCTGGGCATTCAGAACAAATGGCTGTGATGGAATCAATGTTTTATAAATTCTAATTAATGTGTCCAGTGTATTTATTTTATAAAAACAAGTTAAGTTGTATGTAAAAGGAACCACTGGGGAGCAAAGAAATAAACAAACAACAAAGCTCAATGTAAACTCAAATAAATCAGGGAAACATAGATTATAGAAAAAATAGACTTTTTGTAAAGTGTAAAGCAAAAATTAAAGAAATGCCAAATATCAGAAAAATAAAGTATATGAGAAGGAGAAATGGATGATCCAAATTCTACAAAATTAGACATTCCCCAAAGCAGAGTGTGTAGGTGGAGGAAAAACAAAGCTTCAAGCATGCAAGAACAAAAATGTTCAGATCTTATGAAAGATTTGAGAATTTTATCAGAAACACAATGGGGCATGGGAGGGATGCATACAGATATCCTGGTGTAATTTCAAATTTCCTCGAATAGGAAGGAAATTTTGCAAGTTTTAATCAGGAAACAATAAAAACGCAACTAGGTTACGTACAGAGCAACATAGAACTATTTATAATACTAAGTATTAAGAGTCAATTTAATAACTCTTTGAACAACTAAAATTAAAAAAGAAAATTTGGCACTATCAAGTGCTGGTAAGGATATGTACCAAAAGAGACACTTATTCATTTTGCTGGTGGGAATGCAAAAAATGGTACAGCTACTTTAGAAGATGGTTGGCAAATCCTTATACAAGTGAATATAAACTACCATATGACCCAGAAATCACATTCTTAAGTATTTACCCAAGTAAAATGAAAAGTTACAGAAAAGCTTGTCTGTGAAATTTTATGGCAACTTTATTCATAATTCCCCAAACTGGAAACAAGAATGTCTCTCAACAGAATGGTTGAATGGAGTACTTGGTCTGAATATTTGTATTTCCTCCAAACATATATGTTACAATCCGAATCCCCAATGTGATGATATTAGAGGGTGAGGCTTTTGAGAGGTGAATTAGTCAGGGTTCTCCAGAGAAACAGAATCAATAAGATAATCAATAAGATATAGAGAAAGAGATTTATTGGGAGGGATAAGTCACATGACTATGGAAGCTGCAACCTGCATGTTAGGGGCCCAGGAAAGCTGAGAACCAAGGAAGACAAACATATAAGTCCCCATCTGAATCTGAAGGTCCAAGAACCAGGATGATATAACTGTTCTGTTTTGTGTGGTACTCAGGTGTTTGTAAAAACCACAGAATCGTATATCATAAGGAGCGAATTGTATGCAAATTTACAAAAAATAGTTAACCAGAATTTGGGGATACTTTGGATAGAATGAAGGCCATGACAAATAAATGTAACTGTACTCCAGGTGTCTGACTTCACGGGAGGTTGGGGGGAGAGGGGAGGAGCTGACTTAAGCCCCTGTGGAAAATGATGCTGTGGCTGGAATTTATATAGCTGAACTAAAGAGAAATGTACATGATCACTATACTCTAGTTGGAAATTTTATTTTTCATGGGGTACAGTTTAACAGTTTTGAAGCTGCTTTATATGTATAGCAGATTGAATAGATAAATATATGGATGGTGGATGATAGTTCACTCCCAGAGATGAGAGTTATAAATTAGAAAAAGGGGAAGGCTAGAATCAACATGTGGCACTGGATTAGAGTTGAAGACATCAGTATAAATTCATGTTTAGAATTATATATGTGAAGAAATAGATAAACATAAGTGAATAAATAGATATTATATGTATACATACCTATAGAATACATATACACACATACACAAGCATGCACACACACACATTTTCTATTTTTGTCCATTGTGAAAATCTAGAAGCAGCGGCACCCCTTGTAGCTATGGGCAAACCCAGTTTCAGGATAAATGCCTTCCCTAATAAAGGAACTAGGTCTCCTTGGGGAAATACCTGATTATAAACTTAGACAGGGCAAATACAAGATGAACTTAAACATCTTACACTGCCAGAAAGTAAAGGACTGGTAAAAGCAAACAAAAATGTCAGATGTGACTTTTTAAAGATAATGTATGAACATTAATAACATTTTAAGTATTTAGAACTCAGATCTTATTATCTGTGAGAACTAAAATAAAGTAAGTTATCAACCAAATCAAGAAATAAGAAAATATACCATCGATGCACTTGTCTCAAATGCTCAGAAATTATTACAGGATCACGAAAATAAATCAGAATAAAGGACTCGGAGAGTGGGTTAAAATGGCGGAGGAGTAGGGTGACCCTAACCTTGCGTCCTCCCTCAAAACACAGCTAGACAAATATCAAATCATTCTAAGTACCCAAGAAATCAATCAGAAATCTTAGAGAATAAATCTGCAGCTCCACAAACAAACAAACAAAGATCCACGGAAGGTAGGAACTGTGGAGTTGATTTGTGGGGGAAAAAGTTCCAGGTGCCGCAGAGGGGAAGACTTGATCCCCAAGAGAGTAGTGAGAGAGAACAAAAAAGAAAAAGAATGGGAGAAAAAAGCGTGAAACATGGGCAGGGGACTGCACAGGAAAAGTGTTCTGTAAAACCATTGATTGGGAAAAAGGAGAAGGCTTCAATAATGCCAGGTTTTAGAAACAGTAGAGTACAGAGTCTGAAGTTTCAGAGGTCGGGGGAGCCTGGGTAGCTCAGTTGGTTAAGCGTCTGACTTCAGCTCAGGTCATGATCTCACAGTTTGTGGGTTCGAGCCCCACATTGGGCTCTGTGCTGACAGCTAGCTCAGAGCCTGGAGCCTGTCTTCAGATTCTGTATCTCCCTCTCTCTCTGACCCTCCCCTGCTCACGCTGTCTCTATCTCGCTCTAAAAAATAAATAAAAACTTTTTAAAAAGAAAAATAAATAAATAAATAAATAAATAAATAAATAAATAACATTAAAAGATTTGAAGTTTCAGAGGTCAGTGTCATAGCCAGGATCGTGCCTTGTGGTGCTCCAGTGGGGAAGCAGGGCTGGGCTCCCAGAGCAGGCGGCACAGTCTGAGGACCCCCTGAGTTGCACAGGGAGAAGTCGTTCCTCTGCTTGGACTGCTTGGTAGAGGTGATATGGCCTGTCTGTTGGCCAAAGACCATACGGGCGCTATTGAGCTGGCTCATTCACCAGTATAGGAACAGAGACATTGGTTGAGGGCAGCAAATCCTGATGCTGGTTGTGTGTTGCGATTTACCATAAACCATAAACCACAGCAAGGTGGCATGGGGGCTTTCTAGGACAAGCCAGCAGCAGCCACAGTGCAGCCAGACCATCACCCGGAGGATGAGCACAGGTCCATGCCACAGGGGTCTCTGAAGTGTGGGGTTTTGAAATACAGCCATGCCTGAGATAAAACACACGAGTGCGACGCAGCCTGGCAAGTGGACAGGCCTGACACAGACAAGCTGGAGGCAGGGATCTGATGGGACCGAGGAACACAGAGGAGGAGTGGTTATTCGTGATTCTGTGAGGGCTTCCTGAAGAGTGGCAGACATGAACTCCCCACTCTTACCAAAGTCAACACCCCAAAAAACAAACAAGCCAGTGAAGAAATGGGCAAAAGACATAAAAAGAGACTTCTCCAAAGAAGACATCCAGATGGCTAACAGACACATGAACAGATGCTCATCATGACTTATCGTCTGGGAAATACAAATCAAAACCACAATGAGATAAGACCTCACACTTGTCAGAATGGCTAAAATTAACATAAGAAACAACAGATGTTGGCTAGGTTAGGGAGAGAGGGAACCCTCTTACACTATTGGTGGAATGCAAACTGGTGCAGGCATTCCAGAGAACAGTATGGAGGTTCCACAAAATGTTAAAAATAGAACGACCCTACAATCCAGAAATTCCACTACTAAGTATTTACTCAAAGGATACAAAAATACAGATTCAAAGGGTTGCATATACCCTGATGTTTATAGCAGCATTATCAACAATAGGCAAACTATGGGGAGAGCCCACATGTTCACAGAATGATGAACAGATAAAGAAGATATGGATTTTTGCAAATACATGTAATGAATACTCATATATAATATGAATATTACTCATTGATTCTTATATTGAAATAGTACTCAGCCATCAGAAAGGAAAATCTTGACATTTACAATCACATGGATGGAGCTAGAGTATATTATGCTAAGCAAAATATGTCAGTTTGTGAAAGACACATACTATATGATTTTACTCATAAGTGGAATTTAAGAAACAAAAGAAATGAACATATGGGAGGGAGGGTAAAAATAAAAAAAGAAAAGGAAAAAGAAAGGGGAGAAACTAACCATAAGTGGCTCTTAAAGACAGAAAAGAAACAGGATTGATAGAGAGACGGAGGTGGGAGACGGGCTCGATGGGTGACAGGTATTAGGAAGGCACATGTTATGATGAGCACTGTGTGTTGTCTGTAAGTGATGAATCACCAAATTCTACACCTGAAACCAATATTGCACTGTCCTAATTAGAATTTACATAAAAATTTGGGGGGAAAAAAAGACTCGGGAAAGGCAAAACGGAGCATTTAAGAACCATTGCCAAATAATGAAATCAATGAAAAAATTAAGGTTGTGACGGAGGCTTGCAGCCACCACCATGGTGGGGTGGGGTGGGGAGGGTATCCACTCTTGACCAGGTAGACAAGAGGTGACAGAGTTTCTCAGGATGCTCTGTCCCATGCTCTGCCAAGATGTGGGTGTAGTCCTGGGCTAGAGAAGGGTAGGTTTTGTAGTTGTGGTCTATTTTCTGAGAATGAAGGGCACCACGACCTAAAAAAGAAAGAGGGTCAAACACAGACACCTGCAGGAATTTCTCAGTAAGCTCGCCTGGGGAGGCCTATAAATAGAACCTTTTTGTCTTTGATAGAAATTTTTAAATTACATGTGTGACTTCCATATTTCTATCAGGCAGTGCTGACTTGGGAGAAAAGGGCAATTGTCAGCCTAACTGAAGTAGCATCTGGGCTCAGTCCCTTCCGGCTCTGTGACCCTGAGCCTACCCTCTCTGACTCAGTTGGGTCCTGTGGATTTGGGGAAACACAGAACAACATCCGGTATGGGAAGTTTTTTTAGCATCGTGACTTGGACACACTTTAGTAACTTGGACACACTTTAGTAAGCACCTTATAACAAGTGCTTAATAAATAACTATTGTATAATTCTCAGGCTGATTCCTGTTGAAATGCAGCATCTCAGCAGTCACTACCCTCCCCCCCCCCCCCCCCCAACACACAGGAGCCTTGAGCACTTTGCATTTGCCAGTCAATCTGAGCGGACAGACACGGAAAGGCTGCCCCCTAGCGGAAAACGGAGGAAGGATTTGGTCGCGGGGGCTTCAGAGTGAGCTGCTGAGAGCCTGGGCGGGAGGGGCATCGAGTTCGAGGCTTAGGGTAGTGACTGGTGCTTAAAGGGATACAGAAGACGCTCACCGCCGCCTCTAGGAGCACTTAAAGATGTGGAGAAGGGCCCCTGGGAAGATCTGGATTGGACTGTGTCTACAGATGGGGAAGAGATGGGAGGAAGGAGGAAAAAAGCCAGATGAGGAGGGGGTGTGCCAGGAGGCTGGAGCTCATTGCTGGTGGCCACCGAGACAAGCAAGGCGGCTCCAGGCAAAAGTGAGAAGCTTTTGTTGGGGCAGGGTTGTCAAGAACTGACTTCTGTACGGGGTGTGGTTCCTGAAGACACCATCGGGAAACCCCCCGGCTGACACGTTTTGAGAGAAAAAGGGCATGGAGAGGTGAAAACGGCCAGCCAGGGTTCACTGGAAGGCTTCAGACAAGGACTGAAGCTCAGCTAACTTGCCATAGGGAACTGGCCAAACTCCTAATTGCACTGTTCCTCCTTTTACTTCGGAATTAAACAGAGAAAGTAACACTCACAGTGCAGGCTTGTTATCGGGGTTAAATGATACCAAGGAAGCAGAGGTGCCGTGATATATAGGACTCTAAAAGTTGCCGTGGTAGACTGCATGAAATAAATGATCTCAGTGTTGGAAATTAATTATTCTAGAACACTCTACACACTGTCAGTTCAGTGAAGGTGACTAGCGTCTGGCACAACCATGGGCGCAATTTGGGAGTTGGGATGGAGTGGTTAGGTAGCTCCTGAGCAGGGTCGCCTGAAATGCTGCCCATACCACAGTGTCCTAAGATCAGGGGAAATGGGGAGTGCATGGAGGCCCTTCGTTCCTTTACTAAAATGTAACCTGGTCCGTAGGCGTATAGAACCCTTCACATCAAAGAACCCCTATGCTCATCCTCACCGCGCAACTGATAATCTCTGGATATTCTCTTGAGCAGATGCCCCTCCTGGGCTGCCAGTTCCTCCAGAGTTACCGGGAGCAGCGCCTGGCCCACTTGGTTCTGAGCTTTATTACCATGGGGTATGTCTGGCAGGAAGGAGAGATGCGGCCCACGAAGGTAAGGGGGCCAATAGATGCCTGTCTTGTCCTCTGGCAAGCCTGCTGCTCCTGAAGTATTCACTGCTTGGCCCCACACTGCTTTCCTGGAAAATAGGTCCTTTCTTGTTCTTTTCTTTTGCTATCAGTTGAAGGAAGGACAAATGGCCCGCTTACATGAGAGAATTTTTCCCCCTAAGAAGCTAATTTTCTTCAGAACTTGTATTAGCTTTCACAACTCCCCCTCCCCACCCCCTCCCTGGGAAGAATGCTTAACAAGTTGCATTTGAAGGCAAGAACTGAGATCTCATTTAAAAAAACAAAAACCAAAAAAACCTTAATGATAGCTTACACTTGCAGCATTCTGTATTCCTATGCACATATATTATCTCTTGATATTCTCAATCCCATAAAGTAAACAGAGCGCCACTGTGCCCATTTTACAGACAGCTGAGGACTACAGAAGACAAAAATCCTCATCCAAAGTTAGATAGCAAGTTAGTGTAAAATGCAAGGCGATGCTTAGACCTTCTGATTCACTAATGTAACCTTCTTTCCCTAAGAGGCACCCATTGACATTAACAAGACTAATTTTAATTTTTTAATACTCTGCTCTTCTACTGATTTTTGATCTGTTAATAATTCATTTAAATCTCTTCTAAATCTTTACTTAACCTTTTACAGCTTCAACCTGAACCTGGAGGGCACCGGGGTGGCTCAGTCAGTTGAGCATCTGACTCTTGGTTTCAACTCAGTTCATGATCTCGTGGTTTGCTAGTTCAAGCCCCGCATTGGGCTGTCTACGCTGAACCTGCTTCAGATCCTCTGTCTCCCTCTCTGTCTTCCCCCTCCCCCCACCGAACCACTCTCTGTCTCAAAAATAAATAAATAAATGTTTTTAAAAAATGACAAAAAAACCTAAGCCTTGAGACATGAAATCTCTGAGTTCCACTCACTGCAGTATAAAAAGCACCACTCCCCTTCATTTTGTTTAAGTGTCCATTTTCCAGGAATCAGAATTACCTTTCTTCCAGTACTCTGTAGTTCACTGAGAAGCCCTGGCCTATTTTGTCTACTTGGTTAAGCCTGCTTATTTTCTTTCAAGTAAACAGAGGAAACTCCCTATGAGAAAAGGAAGAGAACATGAGAAAGGAGAAAAGAGGAAGATATAGACTTGCTTCAGAGTTGTTAAATGTCAGTACATCTCATGAAAAAAAAACTGTGTGTCTGATATAAAAAGTTTGAAATCTAGGCACACTACAAAATGTCCCCCCTGGGCCTCCCCTCTCCTTGTGTTCTCCAAACCATAATCCTACATATGGGGAAGGGGTAAAGAAGGGTGACGGAAGAGGAAGCCTTTGGTTTCATGGAGTGTCCATGCACATCCAGGCTACCAGGGATCCCCCGCCCACCGCCTGAGATCATCTGTAACTTTCTCTGCATTTCCTCTTCTAACTCTACTGAAATAGCCACCTCATTTCTGCATTGCCCTCCTCGTTCCCTGACTCAGAGAAGCTAAACTTAAGTTTGAATTTTAAAACTCTTTAAAGTTCTTTCGGTTTCTTACCTAAAACCCAACTCTGTCCCAAGTCTTTCTAAAAATCTGAGGGGAAGCAAGTCTTCTTTAGTAGATACTTTTATTTTAGGGGGGAAATAAAAATGCAAGTGGGAGATAGGGAGTATAAGAATGTTATTTGAGATCCAACCCATTTAACTTTGTCCACAGATAGAACCCTCCCCCACCCCCCGCACCCCCAATGGATCTGTGTAGCTCTTCTGGACTTCCTCAGATAACTAAGTATTCCTCAGATAACTTAGGGGTTGAATAGGACCATCTTGAGGTGACTTCCTTGAAGTTGTTATTGGGTTTGACTTATGAAGTAATGGACAGAGTTGGCTGCCACACAAGATGAAATGTTCTGTCTTCCCCATCCCTGTTCCCGACTGACACACAAACACACATGTACATGTGTGTATACATACACATGCACGTATATATGTAGCTTTATACACACAAATACATATATATACATATTTATGTAGACATCTCTCTTGATAGTTAAGTAGATAGATAAAGAGATAGAAATATTTTTCCCCCTGCTCATCAACTCAGCCTCCAGTTTATGTTTAAATATTTAGTGATGCCCTTCTCTGCAGTCAGTTTTCAGAGATTATTTTATACTTTATCTATATGTATGTGTTCCAGCTTTGTAATTTTCATGTATATTTCAGATTGTGCTCATAAACAATATATCCACTAAAATGATAATGGAAAAAATATGAGAGTGAGGTGTGTGTATATGGATCACTCAGATAATTCCAATTTTATGCCCAGGTCATTTCTCTACCACAGGATTGCTGGAATAAAGGGCAATCATGATGACTTCCCTTGCTGCCTGCTTTCTAGAATATGCTAATTTCCTGGATTTATATCTAAAAGGTTCTGCCAAGAAATCTTGCCCTTCCCTTTGTTGAAGTCTCGAGGAACTTGGGGATCCCTCCTATCCTGGCCCACACAGACTTGGTGCTGACAAACTGGACCACCAGGGATCCAGAAAGGTAAGACAGGGAGCGAGTGCTTTGGATGTGAACAGATTGAAATGAACTGAGCAGCAGTCCTGGACCTTTTCCTCTTCTTACAGAAAGGCTTTGGATTTTCAGCTGTTTGTAATCAGCAGTGTTCATATTTATTGTCTGCTTTTATGGTTCCAAAGAACTTGTGTTCAAGTTCAAAACTCACACTTTCCAGAAGTTTCTTCTCAATCCACTCTGAATACATTGGGGCAGGCTAATTTTTCTTGCTTGCTTCCACATCCAATTTGAATTTCTCAATTTGACCTTCAAGCTCCTGCATAATTAGGCTTCATTCATTCATCCTCAAGAAATTTCCATTCCATAGCATGCCTTCCATTCATGTGGAATTAGGACCAGTGACTTCAATAAGCCCTCATGATATAATGATCATGAATGATTATGGTTATGATTACTGGTGAATTAAGAGTAGGGCTCTCGAAAGTTAGATTGAGAATTTTATTAATAATGCTATCTCTTCTGCTTAGCTGGCATCAATCCTTTGAAAGTTGGGCTGGGAATGTAGGTAGGTATTGGTCTAAAGAAGAAATAGTGTGAGTGTTTAACAAACAAACAATAAATAGTCAGAATGGGTGGAAGAGGTGAAGTGTTAAATTTCCCTGTGTACTTTCTTATCACAGCCAAATTTATTTCAGGCTGTAGATGCAAGAGATAGTACTTTTGTAACTTACTAAAATAACTAAAGGTACATTTAGGTTAGATGTGAGGAAGAACTTCCTCAGCTTGAGGGTTGTAGGTACCACAAGAATGCCAGAGGAGATGATGGAAATCTGTTCTAGATGATTAAACACTTAATAAACAATACAGCTTTTAGGACTAATTTATGTGCTTCTTAGAAGAAGGGAGGCCATCTCATCTCTCTAAGGAACTCTGATGCCTGGGAGAATACATTTTTCATAATTATTAATTGTGACCTTTGACCAATTCTTTCATAACAAAATTGGTGACCAATATTCGCATGAAAAGTTGCTGACTCTGACTCTGAGTTTTGGCAGAAAGAAATAATAAATATATGTGAAGAAATAATTCTGGTCAAGGCATTGAATATTGAATAAGCTGGATTTCTGGTTCAAAGAGAAAGAGAGAAGCAGGAAAGTTTGAAGGGAAAAAAATGTCTGGACCATTCTGGTTAAGTAAAAAATACAACAAGGGGCTATTGCCCAGTGAGTGAGTGCACAGGGCTGCATCGCAGAGATGCAGACAAGTCTGGGACTCAGTAGTTCTCTTTCTTGCTGATTAACTTGGGAGTCTTTTAATATGCCTAGTGTAGGGGTAAGTGCTTTGAAGAAATGGAAGACATGGAAGCAAAGGACACCAACATGGTTAAAGAACAAGACAAATAACAAAGAGGCACATAAGCAATAGCCCTTTAGCATTTCAAAGAAATATCAATGCAGGCTTTAAAAATCAGGAAACGGCCTGGTGAGGAAGTGAAACTTGATCTGATGCTAAATGTAGTAAGAATACAATAGTTATAACAGAAATGTTGGTTTGTGGCAATTACAAATATATAAAAGGAATGTGGTAATTTATCATGATGGCCACAGGCTTAATATTCTGGAGTTCCTGTGTAAGGGGAGATTTAGCTTACTCTTTGTCACACAGTGACTTGCAGGGAAGGAAAATTTTTCCTTTCTTCCCTTTTAGGTTCTTTGGCTGGTCTGATAATTACACTGACATAAGACAGATCAATAAAAGAAAATGAATTTCATTTTGTACGTATGAAGGCTCATAAAATATGAGACTCGGACAAGTGACTAAAGCAGGAAGATTTCGTACCTTTTAGACAAGAAAACAATGCATTTGGGAAGAATTGACAAGACAAAGAGGCTGGGGGCTAGGGTAGCAAATTAGTGAAGGTGTGTTTACACAGGCTTCTCAGCCCTAAATTCCCTGTCTCAGGTGAAAGGACACCTTCTATTTTCCTGGTACAGAGAGGGTACCAGGATTTATTTACATGCCAGATTTATTTCCTGCTTTCAGGGGAACAAAGGAAGTCAGATGTCCTTCTTGTACCAGCTCTTTCTTATATAACATTAATTCAAATAATCAGTGTGCCAAAGCAGCACATTTGGAGTGGAATATTCTGCTCTCTTTCAGGCCCGCAGTGTAGTCACAACCTGTGACATCCAAAGTGTGCATGGAGGTGTGTGTGTGTGTGTGTGTATGCATGTATGTGCGCGCGTGTGCATTTGGACACAAATGTATGTGTCTGTGTCTGTGTCATTTTAAAACACATATCCAGTTTAGAAACTGATTTGTTCTTTTATTTCCTTTTTCTCTTTGTGGTTGTCAATACTGAAATTTGACTAGACCCCTGGAAATCAGGTAAGTTCTAAGAAATCTTTCACTAACTTCAGAATCCATACCAACTAAATACTTACAAATAAATAGAAAAGAATGCATACCAAATTTTGTATATAGCATACAAACGATCTAAAAATGCCTGAAAAAGAACAAGACAGGGATATCTACTCTCACCATTGAACCTAGTACTAGAAGCCTTAGCCTCAGCAACCAGACAACAAAAGAAATAACAATCATCCAAATTGGCAATGAAGAACTCAAACTTTCACTATTCTCAGATGACATGATATCCTTTGTAGAAAACCCGAAAGACTCCACCAAAAATTGCTAGAACTAATGCATGAATTCAGCAAAATTGTAGGATATAAAATCAGTGTATAGGAATCATTGCAGTTCTTTTCTTTTTTTAAAAATTTTTATTTATTTTAAAAAAGAGCACGTTGGGGAGGGGTGGAGATAGAGGGAGAGAGAGAGAATCCCAAGTAAGCTCCACACTCAGTGCAGAGCCCAATGTGGGGCTCAATCTCACAGCTGCAAGATCATGACCTGAGCTAATATCAAGAGTCAGAAGCTCAACCAACTATGCTACAAATTTGTTGCATTTCCATACACCAATAATGAGGCAGCAGAAAAAGAAATGAAGGAATTGATCCCATTTGCAATTGCACCAAAAACCATAAGATACCTAGGAATAAACCTAACCAAAGAGGTAAATGATATTTACTCTGAAAACTATAGAACACTTATGAAAGAAACTGAAAAAGACACAAGAAATGGAAAACATTCCATACTCATGGAATGGAAGAACAAACATTACTAAAATGTCTATACTACCCAAGCAATCTACACATAAATGGAGTCCCTATTGAAACACCACCAGGATTTTTCACAGAGCTAGAACAAACAATTCTAAAATTTTTATGGAATCACAAAAGACCCTGAATGGCCAAAGCAATCCTGAAAAAGAAAAACAAAACTGGAGGCATCATCATTCTGGACTTTAAGCTTTCATGCAAAGCTGTAGTCTTCAAGACTATATGGTACTGGCACAAAAACAGACATGTAGATCAATGGAACAGAATAGGAAACTCAGAAATGGACCGCCAACTGTATGGTCAACTCATCTTTGACAAAGCAGGAAAGAATATCCAATGGGAAAAAGACAGTCTCTTCAACAAATGGTTTTGGGAAAACTGGATGACAACATGCAGAAGAATGAAACTGGACCACTTTTTTACCCCAGACACAAAAATAAATTCAGCATGGATGAAAGACCTAATTGTGAGACAAAAAACAAACAAACAAACAACAACAACAAAAACCAAACATCAAAAATCCTATAGGAGAACAGGCAGAAACCTTTCTGACCTAGACCATAGCAACTTCTTACTAGATATGTTGCTAGAGGCAAGGGAAACAAAAACAAAGATGAACTATTGGGACTTCATCTAGATAAAAAGTTTCTGCACAGTGAAGGAAACAACCAACAAAACTGAAAGGTAGTCTATGGAATGGGAGAAGAATATTTGCAAATGACATAGCAGACAAAGGGTTAGCATCCAAAATCTATAAAGAACTTAGCAAACTCAACACCTAAAAAAACAAATGATCCAGGGGTGCCTGGGTGGATCAGTTGGTTAAGTGCCTGAATTTGGCCCAGTTCATCGTCTCACAGTTCATGGGTTTGAGGCCCATGTCAGGCTCTGTGCTGACAGCTCAGCCTGCTTTGGATTCTGTGTGTGTGTGTCTCTCTCTCTGTCCCTCCCCTGCTCATACTCTGTCTCTCTCTGTCTCAAAAATAAACAAACATGAAAAAACCCCCAAATGATCCAATTATGAAATGGGCAGAAGACACAAATAGACATTTTTCCAAAGAAGACACATAGATGACTAACAGACAAATGAAAAGATGCTCAACATCACTCATCATTAGGGAGATACAAATCAAAATCACAATGAGGAACCACCTCACTCCTGTCAGAATGACTAAAATTAATAACACAGGAAACAACAGATGTTGGCGAGGATGCGGAGTAACGGAAACCCTCTTACAGTGTGAGTGTGAACGCAAATTAGTGCAGTCACTGTGGAAAACAGTATGGAGGTTCCTCAAAAAGTAAAAAATAGAATTACCCTATGATCCAGTAATTGCACTACTAGGTATTTACCCAAAGGATAAAAAAATGCAGATTCAAAGGGTACATGCGCCCCAATGTTTATAATAGCATTGTCAACAATAGCCAAAATGTGGAAATGTGGAGAGAGACCAAAATTCCACAGAGTGATGAATGGATAAAGAAGATCTCTCTCTCTCATACGCGCACACACACACACACACACAAAATGGAACATTACTCTGCCATCAAAAAGAATGAAATCATTAGGGGAAAAAATGGAATGAAATCTTGCCATTTTCAAAGATGTGGAGGGAGCTAGAGAGTATTACACTAATAAAAATAAATCAGTCAGAGAAGGACAAATATCGTATGATTTCACTCATATGTGGAATTAAAGAAGAAAAACAGATGAACATATGGAAAGGAAAAAAGAGAGAGAGAAGGAAGCAAAACATAAAAGACTTTTAAAATTCTTTTACAATATTTTTTAATGTTTATTTATGAGAGAGAGAGAAATAGAGGGAGGGGCAGAGAGAGAGAGGGAGATACAGAATCTGAAGTAGACTTTAGGCTCTGAGCTCTCAGGACAGAGCCTGATGTGGGGCTCAAACTTACCAACTGTGAGATCATGACCTGAGCCAAAGTCTGACGCTTAACCGACTGAGCCACCCAGGTGCCCGACATAAGAGACTGTTAACGATAGAAAACAAACTGCGAGTTGATGGTGGGAAGAGGGTAGGGGATGGTCTAAATGGGTGATGGGCATTAAAGAGGGCACTTGTTATGATGAGCACTGGGTGCTGTATGTACTGATGAATCACTAAGTTTAAAAAATATTTTTAATTAAAAAATTTAAATAAAAATAAAAATACCTGAAAAAAGACTAGAGGGAAATGTGCCAAAAATTAAAAGTCCAAAAATTGGAGAGAGGGCAAGATGGCGGAGAAGTAAGGAGCTCCGTACTTGCACTCGCGCCCATACATCACACAGAAAAGATCTGAAGCCATTGGAAACCTTACAAAACCTGAGAGATTGGGAGAAAAAAGACGCAGAATCCACTGAGAGAGCCTTCTAACGTGAGTGCGAACCGGGGAAGATAAAATCGGGCCGGGATCGGAGACTCCAGGGTGGGAGGCGATCCCCCTCTACCCTCTACGGGGAGTGAGAGGGGAAAAG